TTCACTTTCTCTTTCTCTTTCTCTCTCTCTCTCTCTCTCTCTCTCTCTCTCTCTCTCTCTCTCTCTCTCTCTCTCTCTCTCTCTCTCTCTCTCTCTCCTCTCTCCCTCTCTCTCTCTCCCTCTCTCCCTCTCCCTCTCTCTCTCTTTCTCTCTCTCTCTCTCTCTTTCTCTCTCTCTCTCTCTCTCTCTCTCTCTCTCTCTCTCTCTCTCTCTCTCTCTCTCTCTCTCTCTCTTTCTCTCTCTCTCTCTCTCTCTCTCTCTCTCTCTCTCTCTCTATCTATCTATCTATCTATCTATCTATCTATCTATCTCTTCTCCCTTTCTTCTCTCTTCTCTCTTTCTGTTCTCTCTCTCTTCTCTCACTCCCTCTCTTCCCCCTCTCTCTCTCTCCTCTCCCGCTATCTATCTATCTATCAATCTATCTATCTATCTATCTATCTATCTCTCCTTCCTTTCTCTCTCTCTCTCTCTCTCTCTCTCTCTCTCTCTCTCTCTCTCTCTCTCTCTCTCTCTCTCTCTCTCTCTCTCTCTCTCTCTCTCTCTCTCTCTCCCTCTCTCTCTCTCTCTATCTATCTATCTATCTATCTATCTCTTCTCTCTTTCTTATCTCTCCTCTCTCTCTTCTCTCACTCTCTCTCTTCCCCCCCTCTTTCTCTCTTCTCCCGCTATCTATCTATCTATCTATCTATCTATCTATCAAGCTATCTATATATCTCCCCTCTTTCTTCCCTCTTCTCTCTTTCTGCTCTCTCTCCTCTCTCTTTTCTCTCTTCTCCTTCTCTCTCTCTTCTTCCTCTCTCTCTCTCTCTTCTCCCTCTCTCTCTCTTCTCCCTCTCTCCCTCTTCCCCCTCTTTCTCTCTCGTTTCCCCCCCTCTCTCTCTCTTCTCCATCTCTCTTTCTTCCCTTTCTCTCTTCTTTCTCCCTCTCTCTCTCTCTTCCTTATCTCTCTCTCTCTTCTCTCTCCCTCTCTTTTCCCTCTTCTCTCTCTCTCTCTTTCTTCCTCTCTCTCTCTCTCTCTCTCTCTCTCTCTCTCTCTCTCTCCTCTCTCTCTCTCTCTCTCTCTCTCTCTCTCTCTCTCTCTCTCTCTCTCTCTCATTTCCCTCTCTTTCTCTCTCTCTCTCCTCACCCCCCTCCCTCCTTGCTCCCCTCCTCACCAATAACACTGATGCGAACTTCTTCCGAATCTTTTTTGCCGTTCACAACGAGGCTGCAACGGTATAATCCTGTATTAGACGCATCCGCTTTATTCACAGTAGCGATGCGTGTGATGGCGGTCACATTGTGTTCTTTTATTGACTTCACATTGCCAGTCTGAGAGGGAGAGAGAGGAAAGGTGAGCTTGGTGACTGGTATTAGCACGAGAGGCGCCTGTGTAACATTGTTGGTATGTTACATGGCTGGTTTGCCTCTCAAGGAAGATTGGGCGATCCGATGGTGGTGGTGGTGGTGGTGATGGTGAAGGTGGTGGTGATGGTGGTGGTGATAGTGGTGATGGTGAAGGTAGTGGTGGTGGTGAAGGTGGTGTTGGTGATGGTGATAGTGGCGATGGTGAAGGTGGTGGTGAAGGTGGTGATGGTGGTGGTGATGGTGAAGGTGGTGGTGAAGGTGGTGATGGTGAAGGTGGTGGTGAAGGTGGTGATGGTGAAGGTGGTGGTGAAGGTGGTGAAGGTGGTGGTGGTGATGGTGGTGGTGGTGATGGTGGTGGTGGTGATGGTGAAGGTGGTGATGGTGGTGGTGGTGATGGTGAAGGTGGGGGTGAAGGTGGTGATGGTGGTGGTGATGGTGAAGGTGGTGGTGAAGGTGGTGATGGTGGTGGTGATGGTGAAGGTGGTGGTGATGGTGGTGGTGATGGTGAAGGTGGTGGTGATGGTGAAGGTGGTGATGGTGGTGGTGGTGATAGTGGCGATGGTGAAGGTGGTGGTGGTGATGGTGATGGTGGTGGTCGTGAAGGTGGTGGTGATAGTGGCGATGGTGAAGGTGGTGGTGAAGGAGGTCTTGGTGATGGTGATGGTGAAGGTGATGGTGGTGGTCATGAAGGTGGTGGTGATAGTGGTGATGGTGAAGGTGATGGTGGTGGTGATGGTAGTGGTGGCGATGGTGAAGGTGGTGGTGATGGTGGTGGTGATAGTGGCGATGGTGAAGGTGGTGCTGAAGGTGGTGGTGGTGATAATGGTGAAGGTGGTGGTGATGGTGAAGGTGGTGATGGTGGTGGTGATGGTGAAGGTGGTGGTGATGGTGGTGGTGATAGTGGTGATGGTGAAGGTGATGGTGGTGGTGATGGTAGTGGTGGCGATGGTGAAGGTGGTGGTGATGGTGGTGATGGTGAAGGTGGTGGTGATAGTGGTGATGGTGAAGGTGGTGGTGATGGTGGTGGTGATAGTGGTGATGGTGAAGGTGATGGTGGTGATGGTGAAGGTGGTGATGGTGGTGGTGATAGTGGTGATGGTGTAGGTGGTGCTGAAGGTGGTGGTGGTGATAATGGTGAAGGTGGTGGTGATGGTGAAGGTGGTGATGGTGGTGGTGATGGTGAAGGTGGTGATGGTGGTGGTGATGGTGAAGGTGGTGATGGTGGTGGTGATAGTGATGGTGAAGGTGGTGGTGGTGGTGATGGTGGTGGTGATAGTGGTGATGGTGGTGATAGTGGTGATGGTGGTGGTGATAGTGGCGATGGTGAAGGTGGTGGCGGTGATGGTGAAGGTGGTGAAGGTGGTGATGGTGGTGGTGATGGTGGCGATGGTGAAGGTGGTGATGGTGGTGGTGATGGTGAAGGTGGTGATGGTGGTGGTGATAGTGATGGTGAAGGTGGTGGTGGTGGTGATGGTGGTGGTGATAGTGGTGATGGTGGTGATAGTGGTGATGGTGGTGGTGATAGTGGCGATGGTGAAGGTGGTGGCGGTGATGGTGAAGGTGGTGATGGTGGTGGTGATAGTGGTGATGGTGATGGTGATAGTGGCGATAGTGAAGGTGGTGGTGGTGATGGTGAAGGTGGTGAAGGTGGTGGTGGTGATAGTGGTGATGGTGGTGGTGATAGTGGCGATAGTGAAGGTGGTGGTGGTGATGGTGAAGGTGGTGAAGGTGGTGGTGGTGGTGATGGTGGTGGTGATAGTGGTGATGGTGGTGGTGATAGTGGTGATGGTGGTGGTGATAGTGGCGATGGTGAAGGTGGTGGTGGTGATGGTGGTGGTGATAGTGGTGATGGTGGTGGTGATAGTGGCGATGGTGAAGGTGGTGGTGGTGATGGTGAAGGTGGTGATGTTGGTGAAGGTGGTGGTGGTGGTGGTGATAGTGGCGATGGTGAAAGTGGTGGTGATGGTGAAGGTGGTGGTGATGGTGGTGGTGATAGTGGTGATGGTGAAGGTGGTGGTAGTGGTGGTGATAGTGGTGATGATGAAGGTGGTGGTGAAGGTGGTGGTGGTGATGGTAGTGGTGGTGATAGTGAAGGTAGTGATGGTGGTGGTGATAGTGGTGATGGTGAAGGTGGTGGTGGTGGTTATGGTGGTGATGGTGAAGGTGGTGGTGATAGTGGTGATGGTGGTGGTGATAGTGGTGATGGTGGTGGTGATAGTGGTGATGGTGGTGGTGATAGTGGCGATGGTGAAGGTGGTGGTGGTGATGGTGAAGGTGGTGATGTTGGTGAAGGTGGTGGTGGTGGTGGTGATAGTGGCGATGGTGAAAGTGGTGGTGATGGTGAAGGTGGTGGTGATGGTGGTGGTGATAGTGGTGATGGTGAAGGTGGTGGTAGTGGTGGTGGTGAGATGGTGGTAATGGTGAAGGTGGTGATAGTGGTGGTGATAGTGGTGATGATGAAGGTGGTGGTGAAGGTGGTGGTGGTGATGGTAGTGGTGGTGATAGTGAAGGTAGTGATGGTGGTGGTGATAGTGGTGGTGGTGGTTATGGTGGTGATGGTGAAGGTGGTGGTGATGGTGGTGGTGATAGTGGTGAAGGTGGTGGTGGTGATGGTGGTGGTGATGGTGAAGGTGGTGGTGGTGATGGTGAAGGTGGTGATGGTGGTGGTGATGGTGAAGGTGGTGGTGATGGTGGTGGTGATAGTGGTGATGGTGAAGGTGGTGGTGGTGGTGATGGTGGTGGTGATAGTGGTGATGGTGGTGGTGATAGTGGCGATGGTGAAGGTGGAGGTAAAGGTGGTGGTGGTGATGGTGAAGGTGGTGATAGTGGTGGTGATGGTGAAGGTGGTGGTGAAGGTGATGGTGGTGATGGTGAAGGTGATGGTGGTGAAGGTGATGGTGGTGATGGTAGTGGTGGTGATAGTGAAGGTGGTGATGGTGGTGGTGATAGTGGTGATGGTGAAGGTGGTGGTGGTGGTGATGGTGGTGGTGATGGTAGTGGTGGCGATGTTGAAGGTGGTGGTGAAGGTGGTGGTGAAGGTGGTGGTGGTGATGGTGGTGGAGGTGATGGTGAAGGTGGTGGTGGTAGTGAAGGTGGTGATGGTGGTGGTGATAGTGGCGATGGTGAAGGTGGTGGTGATGGTGATGGTGGTGGTGATGGTGAAGATGGTGGTGGTGATGGTGGTGGTGATGATGGTGGTGGTGGTGATGATGGTGGTGATGGTGATGATGGTTGTGATGGTCATGATGGTGGTGGTGATGGTGGTGGTAGTGGTGAAGGTGGTGGTGGTGATGATGGTGGTGATGATGGTGGTGGAGGTGGTGATGATGGTGGTGCTGGTGGTAGTGATGGTGGTGGTGATGGTGAGGATGGTCGTGATGGTGATGATGGTGTTGATGATGGTGGTGATGGTGGTGGTGATAGTGGTGGTGATAGGGTTGGTGGTGATGGTGGTGGTGATGGTGGTGATGGTGGTAGTGATGATGGTGGTGGTGGTTCTGCTAATAATTACGATAATAATTACATAATGGTGATGGTGGTGGTGGTGATGATGGAGATTGTGGTGGTGGTGATAGTGGTGGTGATAGTGGTGGTGGTGATGGTGGCGATGGTAGTGATGGTGGTGGTGATGGTGGTGGTGGTAGTTATGGTGG